ACTATATTTTTATTTATTTAGATCGTTGTGACACATTTCACATTTACCAGTATATGAGATTCAAATATACATGTATTTCAACACAATTGCGTTTCGCTCCTTTTCAATTCTTTTTCAATATGCTATTTTTGTATTTTTTAATATTAAAATTTACGAAAAAATTACCTGGCTCCATCGTTTTCGGTGTCGAATTTTATCTTTATCCTTTAAATGGACATACAAGGTAGTGTTATTCATCTTAATTTCAAGTCTTCCACCATATGGCGTCCTGGTAACTTTCAGGCAGGTTGCTGGGTTGTGTGTATTGCCATTTACATGTACAGACGTGGATGTTTGCATCTGTACAGTGCCACATGAACTTTTTGATACCGATCTTCTATCCTCCCAAGCTGCTTTATGCCCAGCATTTGTTTCAGTCGCGGGTGTTTTTGGTTCTGTTTGACTGTGTTCTTCATCTGAAGCTCGGGATGCTTTGCTAAGTTCCTTCATGACCCTTTCTACAATTTCATGATCAACATCTTGCCTGTAAATTAAAATTAGATAATTTCATATTTAAAACAAGTGGACAATGTCATCACCCTTCTGTGAGAAGAATCAAGAAATCAAAACTTTTTTGTGTATTAGCGTGATTTCTTACCTGAATACGTCCTCAAGTATTATTCGGAAAAAACTGTTAACGTGGTTGTTTACAATCCTTCGTTTGTATTGGGTTTTGACTTCTTCTTTAGTTCCATGGGTTGAACTTCTAGGATCGGGTGCATCTTTACGGGAGCTGGCGTCTTTGGTTTCCTTCATGTTTTCAATAGTATACGTGAAAGCATCATCGAACATTATGTGTGTCTCATAGTCGAAGATAGAATCTTCCTTTTTGACAGCGCCATCGAGTCTACAGATGCAAATATGTATATTAAATAAGTAAGAATGATTTTAAACCTTAAATTAAATAATTTTCACTCTTAAATCACTCAGATATATTTAATGGAAAAAATATCGACAAGAATCTGCAAAATAAATCTTTTAATATTTAAAATATGAAATTCATAAATGTTAAAAAATGGAAATTTTAACTAGCTAAGAAAAATACAAAACAAGGCCTACCTTATAATGCTGGCAAGCATTTGTCGCATTTCAATCTCGGATTCATGCCACATGGTTCCACAAGCGTATACCATTGGTTTCTTTTTCCCTGAATCTTCACCGGAGGGGATGTGTGCAACATCCTCGGCAGAATCAACATCACTCCCATCTTCACAGGAAGGGATGTGTGCAACATCCTCGACAGCATCCACATCGTTCCCATCAACATCAACATCTTTTGGCAGTCGTCTGCGAAACATGAACGACTGCTCAAGGAGAATACCGCAGTACAGAGGCTGGATGAATATCCATTTCAAGGAGGGTATGGCAGTTTTTCCAAGAGAATTCCACACATGTCTATTTAGAAAAAGATGAGAAAGGAGAAGGGCGATATACAGTCCAACCTGAGCCCAAAGGTGCTCGGGATTGTTGGGATCACAATTGGGCGATAGGCTGCCCACCAGCCATCTACGTATGACACCCCCTAGTGTCTGGTCAGGCGTGTATCTCTCAATAAAAGCCAATGTCTCCTTACTGCACAGAGGTATGAATACAACTAAAGGGGACGCAGCCATGGATATCAGAACACAGATGTAGCCGAGCTTAGGAATTCCCATGGTGCATGTTAAGAATATGGATAAATAAGATAGCAAGGCAGCAAAACCTAGAATACAACCAACGCTTATTAAGGCCACTCTCTCCGTTTCATGAACGTATTGATCTGAGGTAAAAAATCTCTGAACGTCTTCTACGGAAAATCCGTTCCAGTACAATATGCCTAATGTGAAGCATAATGTTGCAATCATTTTAAAAAACATAACGTATGAATAAATCAGCGACCTGTGTCTTCTCATTTCTGTTTTAAAGTTCTTGATAGGTATTGAAATGTAATTCTTTGCATCGGTATTGACGAAGTTTTCCCACCAACCGAACGAAATTAGCAGAATTGCGACCGGTAAGGTCCAATCTCTCGATGGCGCAAAGTTGCGAAGGCTTTGTGAATCCCAGTTCCAGGGAATGCAAATGAACACCACGCATCCTAACTGAATTAATACCACCAATATGTCAAGCAAAATGTCGCGAATCTTCATCCCACGGGACTGTCTGTCGGATTTGATGTGAAGAATCAGCAACAGTAAAGCGGGTACAAAGCCTGTGGCGTAGAATAAGGGCATGATGTCCAGCGTATGGACTTCAGGAAGCGCTTTGAAAACGAACAAGCACATCCCACCCGTATGCAGGATTTCAGGAATGGCAGTCTGAAAAAGAAAAATAATAATTTAATATATAATATATTCATTTTCAAAGAGTGAAGATTTCACTGCATGAGATCCTAAAATTGCTATCTTGCACCTGGTGAAATGGCATCGTTACTTGCTCATACAGGTAAATATCACGTATGCCACTAAGAGAATATTAAAGATGCATGATAAGGGAGAGTAATTAGGGGAGACCGGGGCTAGTTGGACCCCGGGGTAAGTTGGCCCCCCGTCAATTTATGAAAAAGTAACTACGAGGTAAAAAAATTGGCCACATACTCTTGCAAAGTGACCGTAGCCTACAATGCTAAGGAAGTGTCGGACGTTAAAAAGTTTTACGTAAGCGGTGAGTCGAAATAAACTATTTTTGCACCTGAAAGTAATTTTGTTTAAGAGATTTAAAAATCTATTTTCATAGGCTTTTGATCGAATATAAGATATGTATAGGGCATCAAACTGAAGCTCATTGTTTCAAGTTTCACATAGATGTATCATCGTTGCTCATTCTAGCACCATAAATGGCTACCATCCTTTAAAATAAATAATGTGCACCCGGGGCTAGTTGGCCCCCTTGACTCGGGGCAAGTTGGACCCTCATATTACCCACAAACCTTTGCGTGCAACGCTGTTTGAAATAAACAAGTTGGTGAAATTGACAAAGCTTGCCGGTGTCTATTACCGTCTGATTGATTTTTTAAATTTTCTCTCTGGTGTCTTTTTGAAAATTTATAATAGAAATATTCTGTTGATTGTAAGTATTAAAAAGCAAATCCATTGGACTTTCCGTAGAAAAACATTTATTTTGCCTTAATTCATTGTAAGGGGATTCCCTTTGTATTTATAGTGTTATATGTGGCCCCAAGGGGATTTTCCACCCCTCCCTAGCTAGAGACCATTATTGAAACAANTAACTTACATATTTTTAGTTTATCAGCTTATCACTCAGTTCAAAGACCAGCAACTGCATTTACAATCACAGCAACCGCATTCCCTTAACATCAAATTAAGTATGTCACATAATTTTAAAAGCTGTTGTTCACTTATAATTTTAACCGTATTACTCCACAGATTTTGCTGGTGGGGGAGAAACGAGGACAAACAAATTTAATTTGATTCAATAGAGACTCCTCCCACCACCTCCGCTCAAACGACCAGTGAGAAAACCATTGGTTTACACAGGCCTATTTCAAAACATCCTATAATATTGATATGGAGTACCAAAAATGAAAGAAAGTTTGAGTAAAAACGACTATCGATTTATAACGAACTGTCTGTCAGTCTTCATGGCAGGTGTTCAAAAACAATGCAGCTTTCACTTTTGCGCGACTTAATCTCAGGGCTATATCCAAAATCTATATTTGCCTTTTGTTCAACACAGACGTTGCTAACAACGACATGGGTTAGTAACTGTGCTTAGCGTGCGTAGTCGGGTGCTTAGTTACGTTTATGTAGACGTGTGTTTCATAACATGAAATGAAAGCGACCAGTAGTCAATAAACCCGACTTAAAGACAAGAGTTTAACGGCATATTGGAACAATTATCTACTGAAATTAAAACACGACGAAGGGAGGTTAACATATATACACACCTGAAGCATATCAAAACTGCAATTGGTTATATAAGTAATGGGACGGAGAATATCCCATCACAGAAAAAATGTAATTTTTTTATGTATTGATAATTTTTCTGAAATGGAAATGAAATAATACATTTACCAACTCCGAGTTTCGGTTGTGTTCCCAATTTCTTTCTCAAGGGCGAATAAGCCAGCTAAACTTAACACATCGATAGACACCCTATGTGCTTTTCAACATAATATAAAACTGACACAATTATACAGCAATATACAAACAAAATACTACCGTAATAAGAGGAGATATTCAAGGTTACGCTAGGATTTGTTACGTTTTTTCTTTACAAATTTAACAGAACACACAGCAACAGGTGTACGTATCTATTCTAGATTTAATGATATGAGAGCTCCTTGTTTATTTGGAAAAGCGCTTTTTTTTGCATCTACAGGCCTGACAAATGACCAATGAAGCTATCCTAATCTAACATTTTAGAGAAATGGAGAAGCCATAAGTTATCACTTGTTAAATTTTATCAATCTTATTATTCCAGGTAGAATTAAAAACAAGTATTTTATTTTTTTATACAATAATTATCTGGATTTGGCAAGCATATCAATAAACGGGTCAGTTTAATTATAACTATTGTATTTAATATGTATAAATATTTTTATATTAATTTTTATAGTAATTTACCCGAAGAGTATTAATATTCTTTTATTCCACCGCTGCGAGCTTATTTTCACTTTTGCTATCTGTTTATCATAGTTCAGTTTTACAATGTTGTTACATCAAATTCTATGCCCAACAGGTTAAAAAAGCGTTACCCTAAGTCAATTTCCATTTATTGTGTGAATAAATATCCGAACTGAACTCTTTTGAGCCTATCCACACTAATTTTGTCTTGCTGCTATTTATGCTTAATCCAGACATTCAAGTATTCCAGAATACAAAATGCAGCATTAGAAGAATTTTTGAACCGTGTAGTATTAATACACTTCGAAAAGTTTCTGTTTTTATCATAACCAAATAAATGCATTTACCCCAAAAATATAAACAAGAGTATTTTTGATGAAAAATAAACAACCCGTTTGCCTCTTTTTGCCATTCTGTTACATTAAATATACCCCTGCATAATATTGTCATTTCTTCTATCTTACGTCTTATTATTGTACGTTTATATTCGGTAGAATTGTGAATTTTTTTAATACACTGTAGTTTTCCTGAGAAGCTTCAATACATACAACCCCCCTGACATCATAAAATTTAAGATCAGCTCTTAGTCACTTAGTCAAACCATAAAATCTTACAAAACAAAAATTTACATGTATCAAAATATATTTTTAAAAACATACTTACGAGAACAATTAGGAAAAGAATCCTTTTTGCAAATGCTCCAAGCGGCATTTTTCGGTCCTCAGAATCGAAGGCGTCCGGCGGTTGGTCAGAAAAGCCCTGTACCATGAATTTTGTCCCTTTTTTACGTGCTGATTGAAAGCAGGCGGATGTAACAGATCCAATGAATCCAAGAACAACGGGCGCAAGCATACTTCCGAGCAACAGACAGTACCATCTAAGTTTCTCGATTTTTTCAAAGTTTTCAGCATCAAGCGCTGTAACATTGTCTGATATGCTGCCAGTGAAATGATAATATGTATCTGTCCTGTTTTCTTTTATTTTCGAAATAGATACAACAATGAGGATCCTATAGGAAGTAACACCCGCGATAATGATGACAAGTGTCACTATGCCAAACAGGAGCAGAGAAATCACAGAGCAGCATTTATCCACGGTACTTTCTTCGTCGTCGGTTTGTTTTCTAATCTTCGGCTTCTTCCGAAATGCATGAAAGTCATACGTCTGTCTAAATTAGAAAACAAGGAGATATATAAAAATGTATTTGATTAACCTGGTGCATCTGAGATTTTGGCTCATGTTTTGATATTCTAGATGTTCATTCATTCGTTCTTTTCGTGCTATGTAATAATATAAGTGGGCACGAGGTACAGAACAGCTGATTGATAGACGAAGGACCGGTGCGCCTGTTGGACGAAGGGAGATGGCTTTCATGAGTCTGCACCAGGGACGGATCCAGGATTATTTAAAGGGGGGTCCGCGGATGCGAAGCTTGGCGAGCCATGAAAGTTTTTCTTATTTTAGAGGGCGAACGGCGCCATTTGCTCCTATAAATCAGCTAATCAAAATTCTAATCCCAAAAGGGGTATATTTGTGTGATTAGTTTTTCAGAAACCGAAGGGGGGGGCAGGATCCCCCTACCCCCCCCCCCCCCCCCCCCCCCCCCCCCCCCCCCCCCCCCCCCCCACCCCCCCCCCCCCCCAACCC